TATGGAGTACCTAAGCCTGTAGAAAGCCAGAGCCCTTTATGACTCAGGAAACTGTTCCCAGAAATGGGGCAATTTCAGCTCAAGAAGCTGTCCTGAAATCAGCAGCCTCCGCCTGATTTTCCCTTTTGCTCAAAACTGAGTAGGGTGTTATAAATGTAAGTGGATTAGACCTGTCAAACATGTCGGATGGAATGGATTTAAATTGAATCACTTTTAATTTTGAGTTTATTAAATTAGATCGTTTTGAATTTTAAGTTAAAAAAATAAATTTAGAACTTACTCACATGGATTTTGGATCAAGTCAAGTAAATCTAATTTTAAAAAATTAAATTAAAAATTAAAGATTTTAAATATTTCATCTTTTTTTATTAAAAAATTTAATGTTAAGTAATTATATAATAAAATAAATCTATTAAATTAATATTAATTTTCATAATCTAACAAATAATAATAATTTTATAATATTTAATTTTATTTTATATTCAAAAATTAAAAATTAAAATATAATTAATTAAAATTTTAAATTAACTTGATGCAATGTTGAGTTAATCCAATCAAATTTAAATAATTTCAATTTAGTTCATAATAAATCTTGAATTAATTCCTTAAATCATAATCTTATTCCTAACCAATGGATTGAGTTCAGATTTTCAAATTAAATCAAATTAAAGTGGGTGCTACACATTGATTAGATTGTTCGAAGAGATGCGAAAACAGTCTCATTTTGACTGCAGGGAAAGCAGGAAAACAGAGTTTCAGAACAGAACAAGGACACCTTAATCATTATATTTGTGAAATGGTTGTAAGTTACAGAAAATTTACACTTGATGCTTTAAAGAAAATAAGTCATTGAAATTTGGTTTAAAGGGAGACAAATACACATTCACCAGAGAAGGCACAATAAGATATGAGAATCAAGACTCTTTCCCTCTTTTAAATTATATATAGATTAAGAGAAACTCATGACTGCAAAGCAACATCTGCATTACTGTGTCCCTTTACCTTGGGGAATCGATTCACTCATTTCTTCTGCTTTCTTGGTTTCATCCTTGAACTTGGAAGTGGTATGGCCATTCTGTGTATGATTTTGATTCTTTTTGTTTGTGGACCCATTGGTAGTGTGGATGTCTTTCTTGACAGCACCCAGACTGTGACGGGTAACCTGACGAGAAGCTCCTTTTACCTTATCTCCTTCAGTCGTACTCACTTCATCACTAAAGCTCTTCCTTCGGCCCAGCTTTGGTGACCTTGCACGAGTTGGTGGCATCTGGCATCCACACACAACTCAAAACACGTAAAAATATATTTTCCTATATCATGGGCACATGCAAAGATGACAACTTTACAAAGCTCATAAGTTGAATCTGTCTATTTGGTTGCTTCCAGTCAGCCTAGGCTTCTATTACAGCAAAGAACAAGAAGAATCTGTACCCTACCTTTTTGAGTTCAACCTTAGGTGGTGGTCCCTCATGGTAGAAGCTTGGCATTGGATTTGCTTTGAACGTCAAACTCTTTCTGAATTGCTTGATAGCTGCCTCTTTCTCTTCCTTGAGATTTGAAATTTGTTACGACAGAGAATATGTAAGAATCATCTGCCTCAAAGAGTTCTTAAACTATTTGTGTGTGTGTGTGTAGGTGTGAAACAGGACTTCACTCCACCTTAGTCCTTGCTTCACTTTGGCTTTTCTCAGCCTCCTTAGCTTGGTGTTTCTCCTCTAATTTTGAATAGAACTACAACAAAATAACAAGGAAGACATGGCTCTTCATTTCAGTTGTTGCATATGCAAATGGCACATAAAAGGAAAATATGAAAATTAAACTTCATGCTAAAAATATTGATTAAGAAGGCAATACCTCCTTCCTTTTCTCAGCACGTTCGGTGCATCTAAATATAGGAGCTGACACGGCAGTTTTCTTGGGGTTAGCATTCTGGGCAGATGCTGCAGTTCTTTGCATAGTGAAGGAAATTCAATATATCAATTTAAGAAGACAGCATGTTTCAAAGTAAAGCAGAGAACAAGAAAGCACAAAAGCAAAGCATTTGAACTCTAAATTCCTGGGAGCATAAGGATACGAGGAGGTGATGGAACAAGAATCATCATCATCTGGATGCTTCTTGTTATTAGGTTGTAGTGGCTTCCTTGGTATCAAATGGGGGTGCTGCAAAACATACATACATGCAATTGACATCTGTAAGTGGAACAAGATGACACAAGAACAAACAAAAAACAAATTCTTAAGCAAAAACAAATTTCAACCAATTCTATTATGCTACCAAATTTGTAATGTATTTGCATTTCTAAAGTTTCCATTTGAAGGAAAAAAAAAATATAGAAAAACTACAAGCTTCGAATAATGACCACATCAAATTTCTATCTGTAAATGTTTGCAGCATTGTTAAAAGCTAAAAAATTTCAAGGGGGCAAAAGGTTTAAGAAGCATGCTGATTTAACAAGATGTAAACAATTAAAATATTCTGACTCAAAAGGGAAATTAATTTATGCCTGTGCATTCCATCAAAGCAGTTGCTGATCTAGACTAAGTTTGTAATAAGACAAGGGCCAAAAGCAATTTTTTAGATGCCATACAAGGTGTAAGTAACAACAAAAATGGAATCTTAGTTATGCTTCTGTGTTTGGACAAACAAAATAGAGAATCTCATGTGATCCTCACTACTAAAAGTCTAAAACAAAACAAAAAAAATTACTCGAAAAATCTAGGCTACACAGGAGGCATAATTACCTGATTCTGCTTTGGACCATTTGGATTCTTTGCAGTGTTTGCATTAGATTTATTCACACCAGTTCCAGCATCAGCTTCTTCAGTAACAGCAGGACGGGTTGCAAATGAAGCACGCCTTTCAGTTGCCAGTGCAAAAGGCTGTGGAACAGTATGCTTTATCCGAACATTTGTTGCAGCAGGTTTTGTAGCACGTTTCATGGAAACTCTTGATTTGGTATATTTCTTTGTTTTGGGGTCTTCCTGCTTGACCTTTTCATCAGGCAAACCTATCTCAAGATTAGAGCTTGCTTGGGTTGCCTCCTCCTCACTTTTCTCAACTTGACTTAGTTCCAACTTTTCAACCAAGTCTTGTGTAGTACATTCCATAATTACATAATCTTTTGCTTGAGCACTTTCTTCTGCATTTGGAAGCTGAGCATCCTCATTAACATGCAAGTATGATTTCAGGTCACCATGACGATTTTCAAAAGTTTCATCACCATGATCAGGTGAAACACCATTGGAATAAGTATTTACACAATCTGGCTCCTTGTCCTTGCAAACATCTGTAACTTCTATTCCCATAGCACTGCACACGTCAATTTTGATAACCTTAAGTTGCCATACAATATCTCCTCAACAAACACCATTATTGCTTTTACTAACTCCATTCAAGTTTTATTTCATGAAAAACATCTCCAAAGCACCAGTGATGTTAGATTGACAGAAACCATGCTACTTCAATAAAATAATCCAATTATACTTGATGCATAAACTTCAATTCACAACTAGAAAGACTCTGTCAATTTTTCCATTCCTACAACTCATCCAAAAGAGAAAAGAACATAAGGAATTAAACATGTGTACAAAGTTATAGGAAAACTTCCTCAATCACCATTTCAAAGTTGAATGTAACACAAGCACTGGATATGATAGCAAAAAAAGAGAAAACAGTTTACTGTTACAGCTAGTTTTTACCAGAGATAAAATGAATGAAGCATGGCACAACAGCCAAAACAACGGAAACACAAATATCTAGTTGAACATTGAAGTGTTAAACTATCATTGAACAATTACATTAAGTAAATCAACACTGAAGGGCTGAAGGCTTCCAGCATACAAGCTAATGTTTAATAACAGATACCATGCCACAAAGAGAAACAGCAATGTTTAGGTTCAAAATTAATTTATCAAATGTGTAATGATGTTACAACATTATTATTGCTGTTTCTAGATTTTCTGCATGTTCTCTGATTGGACAAAGTCTCCTTAGAAACTGTTATACTAAAGTATGGTAGAGAAAGAAAGAAGAAAGGAAACCTTTAAGCTATGCTTATTTGTGATATCTTCACTTAAGAAGAAGGCAAATAAAACTGTCGACAGAAATTGGCTGTCACTTAAATAGTGAAGCACATTTTATTCAGTTGATGCAAACCATGAATTTTCACATACCAGTAAATAGTAATGAACAGTTAATCTTTTGTGCAACACTCAATTATTACACCAATGAAACCCAACATATCACACACAAAAGCTCGATTTAAGGTATGTACTGATTTTTCAGTAGCAAATGGACAAGTACTTGCAATGAAACAACAAAACCAAAATGGCTCTGCTAGTGTCAAAAGATATGTTCATTTATTTAGGAACGGAAACAAACAGAATCATTTTACTTCCAACAACTACAAAAATCAAAATACATAAAAGGAAGTACCCTTCAGAACAGGAAGAAAATAACACCAGAAAAGGGCAAGTCTATTCTTATGACATAGATCCAATTAACCAATTCAATCATGGAAAACAAAATGCATCAACCAGAAAGATAGAAGGTCTGAAAGTCAAAATAATTTTTTTTTTTTTTAAGAAGAAGTTAGTGGAAATATCAACATGATTATGCTAGAGAAAGATGCACACAATAACATTTAATTGCATATATTAGTTAATAAAAAAATAAAAGCAAAGAATAATTTTGATCTTGTTTCTATTTGAACACTAAAAAGGAAATTAATGGACGCCAAGGCCACAAAAATTGATTTGATACTCTTAAAAACTGCCAAAAATAAATTTTTGCAATGATCAAGCAATGCTACAATGGTCATCCGGCTTCTGTTTGGTTACCTAGAAAATTACGGGGAAAAAACCATTGCCCAAATTTTCTCAAAACCCATATGCTAAAATTCAAATGCAACACTAACCCACCATTTTCCAGCCAAAAAAAGCTATCAAAATGGAAAGACCACTTCAACTTATACTGGAATATGAAGAGATGTTCCCCAACACTGCTTTGATTGACACAGACAAATCACAGGCACAGAATATAAAGCCAAAACCCCCAAAAGGATGATCAAAACCAGAACAAAGCACGCATTTTAAAATCAAAAACAGAACAAAAAATCTAATCCCATATCAAAAATGCAAGAACAAGACAAAAACGAATGAAATCCAGCATATTTCAACAGTATGATATTGATTTATTAGGCAAGATTCAAACCGCATTGCGTTCACGCAACAAGAAGAATGGATCAGAGTTCAGAAATTGAAAGAGAAAGCTGAATTTGAAACGAATCACTCACAGTTTTGGACCGATCTGTGAGGCTTTTGCCTTATCTAGTTGTTTCTTTTGTTTGTGTTTGTCAAGTACGTTTCTTTCCGTTCCTGGGTTTTACCTTATATAAAAATGCCCGGCATCGTCGGTGTTTTGTCGATTAATGGTGTCATGTACAGTCATTTATCCGAAATTAATATGGACTTTTTAATGATAATTTAAATAACTAGGAAATAAAAAATCATGGCCTCCTAACTTGGGAATGAGAGTTTTTGTCATATTTAATTTTAAAAAAATGTTGCATAGTATAGATTATATTAAATTAGATAATTTAAATAATTAAATGAAGTTGGTCTTTTTCTTGCACTTGGGTCTTCTGTCTAGTAGAGTCAAGTCACGTTTAAGTGCACTCTCTCAAGTGCACTCTCTCGTTATTAGGAGAATGATTTAAATCTGCTTCGTTACGAATTTATTCAAAAAAAAGAAAAAAAAAGTTGGTCTTTTTGATATTAGGAATTGTCCTTTTATCAAATAATTTTTTAAGTAAATATAATTGAAACCATAGAATAGACGTTATTGGACCATTTGATAATTTAAAACATCTTAATTTTTCTTTTTCTTTTTCTTTTATCTAAATATAAGCTATATACTCTTTTCGATTTTTTTAAAATTTTTCTAGTTTCTCAACTTTATATAAATTAATTTAACGACTTTATATAGCAAATAAATAACAATTGAAAAAATATTTTTTGATTTAAATGAAAATACCCAATAAGAATTATGTATAAGAAGAAATTTTTTTTAATTATTATTATTTATTATATAAAATTATTTGATATTTATATAAAAGTTAAATTAAGTTAATTAAATCTAATAGAGGGAATTATAACAAAATTTCTCTTTAATTTAAATTTGTGTTGGTAAGAAAATCTCACATTAGTAAAATAATAAAAAGACATGTAGGTTAAAAATCTGAGCAATACTCCAAAAGGCCAAAACATGAAGAATGTGATGGTTATTAATGAAGTCTTTTCTTAAATTGGAAACATAGGTTATCTTATGTTATTAATGGCAAACAGTTGTAGCCATTAATAATAATATTATAGTTATTAAAATTATAAAATATTAATTTTTAAAAATATTAATGTTATAAATTAGATTGATAAAATAATTAATAATTATAATTAATAAAATAATTAATATTTATTAATTAATAAACTAATATTTTTATATACTATTTAAAAGATAAATTCAAAATTTTGGTTATTTTAACAATATTTATGGGTAATAATCACACCCTAGTAATGTGAAAATTATCTAGACACATGTTCTGGGATTTGTGCCATTTTCCTTCTTGTTATGACTTAATCCTAACGAATTATCTTTAACATTTTCCAAGATTCCATACATCTCTTTAGTATAATTCGTGAGATTAGTTTGGAGATTTAGGTCATTATTAATTAAGACAGATCATGTCAGGTTGTCAAGATGATGTTCATGCCTTCAACAAAAAGCAATGCAAAGAGAAGATGTTCAAACTTAAATCACTGCTTACGGCCCCACTTTACCTTGATCATTCCTGCTTAACCCTTTTGATAAAGCCCTAACACCCTCCTCCACCTCCTATCAATTTAATGTCCATCTCCTTTGGCTTTAATATGAATTCCCAAAATTGCCCGTTAATTGAAAGTTTGGTGAGTTTAAGGACATGAATAGATCCTCCTCTGTGGCTTTGTTACATTAATTGTTTGACTTAGACCCTTCAATATCTTCATGCAACTAGAAAATAATGAGCTTTCTTTATTGTAAATTAAGCTCTTGCGTTGTTCCAAAGGTTTCTTTTGATAATTATATCAATATAAATAT